ATACATGTATTTAACAGTTAAAAATCTAAACTAAATCTATTCTTCTTGGATCCAGCATTTTATCGGATTGTTTGCATGAAATCTATCGCTATTATGAAATACTCGGTGAAGAACAATATGAATTACACACAAGATGGCTGTTGAGGAGGCTATGCAAGGGCATAATCTCACTATCAAGTAAATCAACTGCAATTCTGACAGCAATCATGAGCAATTCTGGGGGGGGGGGGCAAATTATTTCCCTGGGGGGAAATTGCCCCCCCCCCCCCAGATATATAGTTAAAAAAGGCACTGGTCCAAAAATCTTGATAAATATACATGCCCAATCCGCGTTTCAGGCTTGAATTTGTGTCTATAGGCTATAGGAGTATAGCTCTTAGGCTTTTCGCTAATGTATACTACGGATGTCACCGTGTGAACGCATCAAAACGACAAAAGTTCGTACTATAAAAACGTGAGCGGCTGTTTAAAATTAGAATTGTAAAATGGCATTTTTAGGGACGTCTTCCGTATTACTGTATACGAACTTCCTAGGAAGGTCGAAGCTTCTTAACTTAAGATCGTAGACGTAAACTTGCACGAGTTTTAACAACATGAATTCGATTTTAACGTGTGATTACTTTTGTCGTTTGCGCTTGGCCAAGGGTAAACCAGTATTGTTCAAGACATTTCCCTTCCAGAACACCTTTTCAAAATACTAACCCAAACATGTCAAAAATATGTAGTGTACATTTACACGGGCAATTTCAACCCTTTGGCACATTTTTCCCATGAATGATTTTAATTCTAATCAAAAAGACTATAGATAAAACTTTGATTTAAAGCTAGTTTCAAGTGATGAGCATACCCTAATTTTTAAGCTATACCTCAAAGAAGATGGGTCATTTCAACATAAACATAAAAATTCGCGCGCGAATTATTAATTAAAGATATTATTTTATTTGAATATAATAATACACTTGTGGGGAATGCTGTTCGATGCCTCCCCACGATCATCACAAGTCACAAACCAATAGTCACAAAATGATGTTTTAATTCTCACAAATCTCAAAGAAAGGTCGCTCACAAAAAAAACACGATGAAGAGCTCTTCTTAGAACCATGGATAATAAAATAAATTTATTTTATTATCCATGTTAAATAAATAAATGTTAGAACCAATCTCGTACCCAGAGCAATGCCTGTGCGCGGGCTAGGATGGCATTGGCTCTGGGGAAGTTGAATTTTTCCTGTGCTGTGATTGGTTTAACGTTTATCAATCGTGAATGCCGACGGAGAACCGGAACCCCTAAATTTAGGGGTTCCGGCTGTCAATTTCCCCAGAGCCAATGCCATCTTAGCCCGCGCACAGGCATTGCTCTGGGTACGAGATTGTGTCAGAATTAAACAGTATCATTCACTTCCGGTACAGTTACCCTAGCTACTTTTGACACACTTAAAAAATAAACGTGACCCTAACTCTAACCCTAATCTAACCGAAAGGTATTGTATAAAGGCAATCTTAGGAAAAATCTTTTAAAGAAAAAAATATGAGAACGAAAAACAAAACATTGGCCATTGCGGGATCGGACCACCAGTTAGCAGCATGTCGGATCGCACGCAACTCAACACCCTAGACAAACGCGCCGCCGGCGCTCACTAAAATACAATTGCAGAAAATCTAAATATATAGAGGTCGCATATATAAATAAAACGATCAGAGGCGTAGCCAGGATTTTTGGTCAGGGGGGGGGCAGCAAAAACCCAGGTGGGGCCAAAAAATATTCGGATCACAACATTTTAAATCTCTCCGACAACCCACCCCCCCTGTCGACACCTTTTTTGGTAAAAAAAAATTTCGGACATCACAATTGCTTTCGTAGCACTTTTCCCGATTGCCGTTTCACTTTTTCCGATGCTTCCCCACAAAGATTCCGACAACATTGACAATGTTCCGACCGGTCTCAACTTGAAGCTATATAATCAAGGATTCTTTTTTTATTGCTGCGTAGCGAACGAGCTTGAAGCGAGCGAGCGAAGCAGCGTATACTAATATGTGCAGAGAGGAGGTTTTGAAGTAAATTTTATTTAGCGCATTGTATTGTGGTCGTGTGCGCTTGCTATGCGCAGAACGCAAAATAATGTACGACATACAATATTTGAGGTGTATTTGAAGGATATCGTTTATTAGTATTTTTGCACAAGTGAACATGACATATCCTACAAGGTGATTGGTCAAATTTGACGTATTAATCTGTTATATTCACCTACAGGTGAATATAACAAAATCGAACTTTTCAAAATGGCGGCTAGCCGTTTTGTTGAAGTTAGTGATAAAGAATTAAGCGAAATTAAAATAAGAAAAACACAAAAAAACTTGTGCAAAAATACTAAAACATTTATTCGCCTCGGGCTCGGTGATTATCGGGAAATATTCACCTCGACTTTGTCTCGCCAAATTAAATATTCCGCGATAATCACCTCACCTTTGGCGATTAATTGTTAATTGTTTTGCTTGCTTCGACTTGTAAATTATTTTGACTCAGGCACTCAGCGTAAGGTTTAGTAAAGTTTTAAGCCCTATAAAGGTCATGATTTAGTGTATAAAATAACGTGACTGCACTTCGTGCGTTGTTCACTCAATTGACTTTGACCACTGTAAGTTCTATATTTTAATTTATTACTATGATAAAGTTTTGGTTTCTTTAGTTTAATACTGTGTATACAATGTGGTAAATGCGCCTAGCAGTATTAGACTTAACAATATGAAATCAGATAGCAAAAACATGCGTTATATAATTCATCTGTACGTTTTAAGAATGCTTTGTCGTTTAGTTGTTTTTATACGCGTACTAGAGCAGCGCGTATTAAATTCAACAAATTCCACTTGATCTTGAAAATATTATATATTCTTGCTTATGATTTAGTGAATATTACTTCCATAAACATTAACACGCCTATCTGTAATCTGTGAGTGCTCTTGAACCCGTGCATGGTCTTGGCAACAAATGCATTGCTTTTTCTCGGACATGCACTTATGGCATAAATCGATTCCGTATTCCTTAAGCTCCCGACCACAGCGCTCACAAGTCGCCGGCTCGCTGCGAGTAATACTAATAACTGCATGCTTTATGTAATTTGTACTATTTTTCGTTCTATTTGCTCTTGATGCCCGCAGCAATCCCTGCCTTGCAGGTACCCTTACTAGTACAATACATTTTATCAGGGGGCCAAAAATTTGGCCACGGGGGGGCAAAATTTTGCCAGGGGGGGGGGCGGCCCCAGCCCTGGCTACGCCTCTGAAAACGATCCGCTCACATTTTGATAAAATATTGTGATGCATGGTATCGGCATTTATTGTTTTTCTAGCCACGTCAAGGACCTCAAATTTCAGAGAGGTTAGTTTGTAAATTTTCTCAGAGGATGTATTAATTAATTGCAACATGGGAATGTATTTTTAGACAAAATAAATTATAGTACAAACCCGTCATATTTGTTCTTTGATGGTAAATACGGTATTGGAATGATGGCCCATGTATCTGGAAATATTTCCACTTTCTAAAGTTGTAAAATTCCTTTGGAATTTTGAGTAAACCTTCGAACTTCGGGCGATTTCGGGCGATGTTATTTAAGTAATTTACTAGATGCCGCTGACATGGTCTGATATGATCGCGGACGGGGGTCACCGAACGATAAATTGACTACCAACAAACATGGCGAGCTTGTATAAGTTTTCTTCATTGGTGAGTGTAAAGGATTTCAAAGAAAAAATAACGTCAACAATAAATAATGAAGATACTTGTCTTGAAAGAAATGTTGTGGACAGGTTAAAAATTTCATCAGAAATGGATATAACACAGGAGACCTTAGCAGAACTTGAAGACGTTTGTAGGTAAATTTATATTACTACAAACACTGAAGCACATTCAAAGTGGCTTGTGTGTATGGTTGTGTATTGATTTATACTGAAGACTGAAGTACATATTTATACATAGATTCATGCAAATTATATATGCTCACCACACCCAGCATTCTTTGTTCAACCAAGTGAAATCACATCTTTCAAGTTCATATTATATAGATTCACTCATTCACATGGTCTAGCTAGTCATGGGGGGGGGGGTGTTTCAAATCTCAAATGTCAACTGAAATTTAATTAAGCCAATTGTCACTATATTGACAGTTGGTAAACATTTACTAGAGTAAATGTTAGTGACTAGTTGCCAGGTTGGAATCCTCGAAAAGTTTATGCTGGAGGTTATGCCAATATGCCGCTGACTGCTTACACCAGTACGTCACTAACGTCAGTCATATGACAGACAAGAAAGTTATAAACTTTTTAAATTTTGGACGTTTCACACAAGCTTAAATTGACTGGAGTTGATACAGACCATATTACGCCAGTCTTGAAGCAACTACATTGGCTTAACTGCATGACTTCAAGTAAGCCATCTTATTGTATGTAAGCTACTGCTAATAACTTATAAGGCGTTAAATGGGCTAGCACCTGGCTACATTAAAGCATTGCTACAAACGTATACTCAGAGCAGGATTCTAAGATCCACTTCAAAGAACCTATTGCATATACCATCAGTTAAATTATTTGGTTAACTATAGTCATAAGTCTTTCTCTTATGCTGCACCGAAACTCACTTCCTGATTATATTTGTCATAGCAATTCGCTGATTAGTTTTAAAGCTAACATTAAGACCTATCTTTTTAAGCAGTTTTACAATTAGCTAACCTTACCTAAGGCGGTGCAAATTATTTATACAGATTTGTTAATGGTATTGATCACCTCCTGTAACATATTGACTTTCAATGTACACTATTAACACTTCATTATGATGTACATTTAACAATAGTCAATCTTTTTATTCTAACATTTGCATGCTCTCTGTGATGACTTATTTTTCTCTGCCTAACGCAAGACTATTTTACTCATCAAGGGTCTCCCCTTGCCCTGCATGGCAAGGCTTGAATTTTATCGTGGCAATTGCTATAGAGGGAGAACAAAATGCTGTGGATCATTGCAACAACGACGGCAATTTTTTGCCGTATAGTGCAATTTTTATACTATTCACTGTGCATTACTATTTTGATACTTGAATTCAGATGTTGATCAAATCATGCGTAAATTACTATTTTAGTCAATTACTATTTTAGTCAGTTTTCTTTGAAAAAACCCACTAAAGAAATACGTAAACATGTTCCTAGCTTATCAACAATCCAAAGTAACAATAAAATTAAATTTTTATTAATTTGAAAAAATGCCATGGAAACTGCCAAAATTGCCGTAGACAGCTGAACATTACGTTCTACGGCAATTTTTAACGTCATTGCCATCGATTGATTTCAGAGAAGTTTGAGGCCTGCTGCATGGTCATATGTTGTCAACATAAGCTCCCCCCCCCCGTGCATATTTCATGAAGTGTTTACCATTGGCAAGCATAGACAATAGTTACTGTAGGATATAAATAAGGCATTTTGTTTGGGAGCAATAAGGGTGTGGAAATGCCTTAAACAAATATTTTTTATTATTTTTTGTATATTATTGCTTTTGCGAAGTCCAAGTAATCTCAAGGTACTGTACCATATTATTACTGGTGTTAATATTTATCACTTATTTACAGAGACCGAGGGAAACAGTGTGTTTTGTGGACCCGAGACCGCTGTTGTTGCTCGAGGCGAAGCCGAGGGCAACAACGGCGGTCGAGGGGCCACAAAACACACTGCTTTCCCGAGGTCTCAGGAAATAAGTGTTTTGTTATATAGTATATAAGTGTCAAAGTATGAATAATTCACCGGTTATTGGAGTGAACTTAATTTGAAACCAAAACTGGTTAAATGGAATGCCGTAAATGTTTAGTAAAAAGTTTTAAAAATGAACTTTGGAACTTCATGGTTGACACGCATGCGTATTGCACCCATTTTATTATTGACCGGTCAATAAATGTTTGATTGCGGACCGGTTGCCGAACATGACGTTTTGTGGACCTGCACGTGACACGGTTTTGGCCAATCGGCGAACAGAAAAATTGAACTTTCAAATTGACACTAACTATATAACAATAATTTTTAGTTACAGCATGTCATTTTGCATACAGAGCATAATTGCCGACAATCCTCACCCAATCACTGTGCACTTGCTCTTGAAATTGCCATTGATGGGTTAATTTAGATGGTTTTTAAAAGATTTACCATGTTACAACCATTCATAGAAAACACTGAACTTTTACCATTTAACTGGTTATTATAACTTTCCCAAATGATAAATTGGAAAAACCTGCCCTACATCATAGACTGTAGATCAGGTAGTAAAAATCATTATTTACTATTAAAATGGTGTTTTGTGAAAGAATTCCTTTTAGAAACCTGGGTTTATCTATTTTATCTTATACTAAATACACATTGAGTTTTAAGTTTGTACATGGTTGAACCATAATCAGGTATGACTAAAAATCTTGAATAGTCGCACCCTTGATGATGGTATTGTGCGAACTGTGCTTATAGTGATGCCAATAACACAGGATGTGACGAGATAACATTGTTATAACTTAACGTTCGCATGAATGTCATATGCATTATATATAGCAACTATTATTTTATACCTGTCATAAGCATGCTTCAGTACAATAACAATGATCATTTAAAGAAATTAAAGACAACTGCATTTTTTAGTGTGAGTGTATTGGGTTTAGATTTGGTAATCGATTAAATTCACTATATAAAATTTGATAGCCTGGAATATATACATTGAGCGTGCAAGGTATCAAATGAATGGGTATTGCTCATTTGAAGCCTTAGATAATTGCTTAGTGAACCAAATAGCCCTAAATTGAAAGTGCTTGCTATATGCCAAAGCACATTTCCCAAGTTTAAGACTCGACTTATAAATAGTAATTTAGTTATCCATCGGTAAGCTTGTTTTACCAATTCCACCCAAACCACACTCTTCTGCAACACGAACTTTCTTTTCGTTCGACGTTTCCACAACTTTCAAAATACGTTTAAGCTCCTGGATTTCTTTAATTAGCCATTCCGAAGTCGATGAGAGGACTGGGGACAAGTGTTAAAAAGTGCCCAAATTAAGAAATGAACCAAATAACTAAAAATACCACCTCAAAATTAGTAAGTATACAAAGTTTGAAGACGTTTACATGAATACCCTTCGAATAATAAGCTTTCCAAAATTCTGAAATTACTGATTAAAAGATTGTTTTGGGGAAGCGCGTCCCAAAATCAAAAATTACAATACATTTCATAGTAAATATCACGATTTTCGAAAGCATATTATTCAAAGGATATTCATGTGAACGTCTTCAAACTTTGTATACTTACTAATTTTGAGGTGGTCTTTTTAGTTATTTGGTTAATTTCTTAATTTGGGCACTTTTTAACACTCGTCCCCAGTCCTCTCATCAACTTCGGAATGGCTAATTCGACCAGAGAAATAACGATTGCGCGGAGGTGCAGTGAAAACGTAGGGAATTTTCTCCTCTTCCTTAATATAAAATCTTGAAAGTTCAGTGGTACAGTAAATTTCGTCTCAAGATAAGGTTTAAGATTTTTAACAGGACAACTTTTTTGAATTAGCTGTATATACTGTAGAAGACACTTGATTGATTTGCAGCATTTTCCTCTCGCACTATGGCAATGAATGAACAAAATTTTTATCTAGACAAGTCTAGACAGAAAGCCAAGTCTATCACAGCTTGAAAGAGCAATCACAAAATTAGTAATATTCCGAAGTTTCGTTGCGAAATGTTGTAAAATGTGGATAATATAGCCCTGCGAAGTTTGCCGTTTTTCAGTCATTTTGTATCACGAACGGGAAATTGATATCGCTTTCTGAAAAAAGGTATCAATTTCCCGTGCGTAATACCAAATGACTGAAAAACGGCAAACTTCGCAGGGCTATATTATCCGCATTTTGCAACATTTCGCAACGAAACTTTGGAATATTACTAATTTTGTGATGCTCTTTAAAGCTGTGATGAAATATTTGTCTACACTTGTCTAGATCAAAATTTTGTTTATTAGGGAATAGGTCCATTACCTAGATCATTTTCATCCTCCAGCTCTTATCAACTTTCATTCTCATTTTACATGTAAATGCTTTTTATATCATATACGCGTATACGAAATATTGCTTATGATTTTCCCTTTTTCTTCCAACAAGTTTGAGGATGAGCCTACAAGTGACATGGACCCCACAACCAAGACAACGTGTTTTTCCCAAGCAGATCTTGCCACTCTCACGTAAGCATACAAAACTATATGATATACATGTATATTTTCAAAAAAATTACAACGCGAAAACGTTTGAAAGCCATCAGCGCAAGATTTTTAACTTAAGTTTAGGTATTACAATACTGTCGACATGATACGGATCGTCAAACTGCTTCCCGATCACGCTCTTTACGGATCGACAAAGTAAGTTCACGATCCGCAATTCATTTTTACGAACCGTACGGTTCGTAAAGCCATTTCACAGGTCGTACGGATCGTACAGACCGTGCGGATTGTGTTGAATAGTGAGTTTAAGATACCCCGGTTTCGGTGTACGGGTACGAGTAGTGTCATCGTGTTTACTATTCTAGTTTTTACTGATGTCTGTAATTCGATCATACTTTTTCTGTTTTCTTGCAATAGACAATGATATAATGCGAAAAATGTACACCTTAATTACGAGTAAAAGTGCAGACATCGACGAAAATACTGCTAACCAAAATCATGCCACCCGTACCCGTAAACCGAAACCGGGGTATCTTAAACTCACTAATGTTTTACCATCTTCACGATCCGTATACGTTCGAGAGTATTGGACAACCATCTGTTATGAATGGTTTAGTATTAGATTTGAGTCAGAGTGCAGTATATAATTCTCAATACTTGGTCTGGCCTAGACGGACACTAATTATTTTTCGAACTTAAGGTGATTCATCAGTTTTGCATTGCGCACTTTTACTGCGCATATCTAATAACAAATTCTAGCTAACATACTATATGTAGTCGAACTGCAATGTAAAGTGATAAAGAAAGAGTAAGGGCAAAGATAAAAACACTCTGCATTGATCCGGTGTGCTTCAGGAAATATACCTTCAATATTGACAGAACTCTGGCTAGTGTTCCATGTGCAACTAGCAGTAAACCACATCGTGTTGCATGTTTAACCCTTTTATCTCTTTAAGAAGATCCATGCCCCACTTTTTTATTCTATATGTTTGTTCTTCTATACGTTTTACATGTCATGTCAGAAAATAAGAGAAAAATCATTAGTCTACTGTACAACTAACTTCTAATATTTTACATTTTCGCGCATGCTTCCCAAAATAACGTGTGTGAGAGATAGGAAAAGACATCTTTGCACCACGACAATGCACATCAGTGGTCTTTGATTCGCTAAAATACCATCTTTTCTTGTATATAATCATTAGATAGACATTTTTAGTAGGATCCTTGTTAAAAAAACTCAGTAAGGGTTGATCAATTGCGATTGTTCCTGTGACTCGTAAATGGATCACGACGGCGCCATATGGGAAAGGTGGCATATTGCACTTGTCCTATCTTCGAATCGAGTTCGGTGACCCCAACTTTTTTTCTGTTTTTACTATGAGCTAGCATATCATAAACTTCACCCCTGAGAAGTTTCAGCAAATTATCATTTCCAGAACAATTACTGATGTATCACCTTCGAGCGTGTGGAAACTAATTGTTCTATATTCTTCAACTTTTCTATATTCAAATGATGATTGAACAGTTGAATACTTTGTTAGTTTGATTTGTATATTCTAATCCTTCCAGTCCTAGTGAAATAAATACAACTGGGAATGCTACCTCCATGCAACCGAAAATTCAAAGCCAACCTTGAAGGCCAGTCCCATTCTTTTCACGCATGCGAAGAGCATTGTCAATCTGTCAACAGAAAAAGCGGCTTAAAACTTACAAAATATGCTTTTTTCCAGCGCTCAAAGGTTTCTATTAATGCTTTTATTCCGGTAAAACTTTCTAGTAGACTTTACTTTTAAGTTTTTTCTTATTTTATTCTAATAATTGTTTACGTGAGAGAAAGGCATGAACACGCGGGTCTTGACCCTCAGACAAAGAAAGGCAGTTTATTTGAAGGTAGCGTTCCAGTTATACAGTATTCATTTCACTGTTGCAGTCTGAGCTACATGTTATACAGTAGTTCAAATGCAATTTATCCGACGCAGAACGCGGTTTTGCATGCATAGTCGACACTCGGAATTGGCTTATTGTCTGTGCAGAGAAGTCATTAGACGGTCATATCAGGGCTTTGCTCGGACTTTTAAATTAGACATTGGTTTGAGGCAAACTAGTTATAATAATTAACATAAGAACTAAAATCTTAGTTTGTCTAATTTGATAGAACGTTTAAAATTATGTACTAAACTTTGCTGCAGATGTTTCATACCAATCATAAACTAATGGAATATTTTGACTAAAAACTATAAGATTAATTCTTAACATCCTTAACTGCAGTACGGTTTAGATGACGTCAAGTGTGGTGATAGCCCAATGGGGTAGTTTTTAGATAAATTTAGCTCCACATGACCTAGTAAAGATCCGAAATTAAAATGCTTAGATAACTTGAATAGCAACCCAGTTAAAGTTTTTCGCTCATATTTATCACTGGCTGTGAAGATAAAAAGACTCAACTCGTGACTATATCTATGCGTAACATGCATATCCTGAATAATCCAACATGGCGGACATCTCACTGTTTTCAGGAACCAAGCAAGATATGAAAAAGTTGTAAAACATCTTCAGTAATTATTTTAAAAGTTCTTTCAAATGAAACAAAGTTTTTACTGCCAATGTCAAAATTATGTTGGTATTATTTTAAATTGTCACCGTGAATTATTAGTATAGTCAATTTGAATAAGTGAATTAGCTTTTCTCACGATGACGAATATCCGCCATTTTTGGGTGGCATCAAATTTTCATCATCCAATGCAAACAATTAAAACAATGTGAAAAGCAATTTTTCAAAATAAACTAACCATTTACAAAGCAAATTTACCATCGTTCGTCAAAAAAATTATAAAAAGTTGCTGTTATGTGGACTTATGGCACATACTTCAGCTGAAATGCCACCCAAAAATGGCGGCGTGAGAAAGGCTAATTCATATCGCATCCGTCTGAACATAGTCTATCATATGATGGCATGGAAACTAAACAGAAGTCATTATTACCTCCGCCAGGAGGTTATGTAATCATCTGGGTTTGTATGTGTGTATGTGTGCAGTGGCGGAAATCTTGGGGGGGGGGGGGGGGGCAAAAGGGATGCCGTTTGACTAAAGAGGACTAAAAGCAGACGAGTCTTTCGAGTGCAAATAAAAGGTCGAAATTTGAAGTTTGTCGGAGGTAGAGCTTGCCCCACCGGAAAGAGTGAATTTCCGACAATGTGTGTGTGTATGTGTGTTTGTCTGTGAGCACGAAATAAATACCAAACATATTCATACGAAATTTTTTGAATGCATTTCCGATCGGCTAAGGAAGAACTGATTAAAATTTGGTTGAATTTGGTTAAAAATTGAACGAGAAATGAACAAAATTTTGTCTTGCTTTTCCCGGTCAATTAAAAAAAAATTACTGAATGTGTAATTAGGACGTGTATAATGTGATGCACGCAGTACTAAGACAATAATGAGATGATAAACCTCATTAAGCTTCAGCGTTCATTATCTATTGTTTTTGTTGCATTTCACTCGACCGAAATTCAATGTCTAAAACAAGGCTTACGGAGTTACGCATTATTGCGTTCGGCAAAGTGCCAGTCCATTCAAATTCTAATAACATTAGATTACTTCAATACAGGGTGTATCGGAATTTCCCAAGAAATCGACATTGTTTTAAAGACAAAAGATTTTAGCTGCTTGGGAATTTAAAATAGCACAACTGTCAAAATTACTGCACACGCGAGTGCATAAAGCAAAATTTATCATTTCTTAAATGACACTTAATAAGTTTTTATTTTACAAGTACTGTACAGTACAACAACAGTAATATGATCTATTAGCAATTCGATTTCAATTCGCGGGGGCCTAAAATCTTTTATGCTTAAGAATTGCAAAGTGGATTTCTTAGGAAATTCCAAGGTTGCGTTTCACTTCCGAGTAGCGGGCGGAGGTATGCAGTCTCTGAGTGCCCTCTAGTTGTGTTATGTTTTTGTCTGAGTTTATGTTAATTTGTGCACGGTCACGGTGATTGAGCTCATTGTATTTTCGTATAATTAAGTAACTGTCCAATAGGGATAGCTGAAATGAAACGTGTAGCCACGATGAATAATATTTAATAAAGACAAAGTTGAGACAAAGGATTTGCGCACGGTGAGATAATACAGTTCAACATCAAACAAAGGTTTTCTATTTTGTGGCTTTGACGTTTGGCGGGATTCCAGACCATCATATCTTAATAGACTATGTTCTGAATAGAGACTCTTGTGTACAGTAGTAAGGTGGCTTCCCATGCATAGTTATTTAACAAGAAGACTGGTAACTGCTCTCCACAACTTCGTGTATTAAATTACTAACATTAGCTTAAGGTAACATAAACGTCCTCTCATTCGATACAATTATTTGTTCTTTTTTTGAAGCGCGGTATCTAAAAAGGAAGGTCAAAATTCAGACCCCAGGGCAAAGATTTTCTATTCAAGAAACAAGAACTATATTATCCTGTCAGAACAGCTAGTAAGTAGATACGAATTGTTTGTTATTGAATGTCACTTCGGCGAAATGCGAAAAATGTTGTGCGAAATAATTAACGCATGCGTGATAAGAACTAGGAGTTACTGCCTCGATTGACACATGTTAGCGAGAAAACAGCTTAATTTACAGTGAAACAGAATGTAAATTCACTTTAATTAATATGGACTCTCAATACACCAGGCCAAATAGAAATATTAGCTGGTTTCCGACCGACCTGTCAAAAATATGACCGACCATAAACATTATTTGACATTTCCCAGTAGAGATCATCTTTTCGTAAATAGCAGAATATATAAATAGTCATCAGACTCATTTGTCTACAAATTATTTTGTTTGCTCATAATTTAATCGTTATCTAGTCATGTTAATCATAGTTTTACACAAATATTAAATATTTGAATAAAATATTAAAAACGTACATTATTCTGACATTCTGAAAAAAGACGAAAGCGCCTTGATTATTCTGTGGCTTTAACGCGTTTGTTTCTCGCGAAACACATGTAGCTCGCGGGGTGATCCGCGTGGCACGTTTGATCACGCGTGACAGTTACTCATAAACAACTTATATTTATTGCATACTTGAGATAAAATATTTTTTTAAATAAAATGTTTTTCCGACCTACTGTACCTACCCATATAAAACATGGCTGTGAAACCTGAAACCAACTATATTTGTATTTGGCCCCATGTTCATGATCAAAATATCAACAAAACATAAATATTAACAAAACATTTAATAGTTATTGTTGCCACAATAGATTTTTCTTGAAAATGTCAATATCATACAATACAGTATATTAAACAGTTAAAGGAGTACAAGACCCAAAGTTATCTGTTTCTTTAATGTATAAGGGAACAAAACAATAATATCTAAATAACCGGGAATATCAACATCGTATGCACCTGGAATTTAAATGCTCATGTTAGCCATATGCCCTGAGTATAACCTCGTTGACCTCCACGCTTAATTTATTTATTTATTTATTTATTATGCTTTGCCAATTTCACACAATCATATCTACACAAATACAAACACAAGAATATACAAACTATCAATCAATCAATGGCAGGGTATATGCTACAGCTTTACGCCAATTACAGCAGCCCTTACAGAACGAACATGACACATTCTACATTAGATCTTTAGTAATATAAAAGGCCAGTTTGCACCCAGGAAAACCCTCCGCAGGATAGTAACGGAAGGAAAGTTACATAGTGCTAAAGTCGTTAGTTCCAACGCCGTCCGCTCCTGCGGAAAATTTTCCTGAGTGGAAATTAGCCGACAATGAAGCTTAACAAGACCAACACAGGGACACACATTAGAATTAATAACAACACAAAATAATACTAGATTCTCCTTATTACGTTTTCGTAGCGCTTTGCATTGTGGTTATAGTGGTATCATTGATATTCAAGATGGCTTATTTTTTGTCCTGACCCGTGCAAGAACTTTTTAAAAAAGCTAGGGTCAGGTGCGCGATAGCCAACAGCAAAATATTCGCGAAAATATTTAATATTTTCATTCGAGGCCGCTATCTTTATCAGTGATACCACTATAACCACAATGCAAAGCGCTACGAAAACGTAATGCGTGCGTGAGGGTCAATCAGATAGAAACACTCCCTATGTTTTATCAAGGCCGGATAATAATGAGAGGGAATTTCCTCACTAATGATAACAAGTCCTTGTAGTTCTTGTTTGTAATCAATTACACAAATTAATTAAGGATATTATTTGTCGAGTCAGCAGGTACATTTTTTTCTGAGCCACAATGGGCAATTCAGTGTCACTCATCACAACAGGTGGTTCAGTATCACTCACCACAATTGAAGGTTCAATGCTGTGTGCCCCAGTAGGCAAATCAATAATCAATATTTTGCTCAGATCGACAACAAATATCGAAATTGAACTCCTTCTCAAAACATGATACAATATTAAACAAGAGACAAATACACGACACCCGGTGGCTAATGAATCAAGTGATAAGATTATTATTCATTGCTTTGAAATACATTTTGTTGCCTGGCAATAAAATACTATTTAATGTCGTTGGTGACCATCAGTTGAGTTAACTAAGGCCTGTTTCAAACGTCGCATCAGCTAATTATATATTGTTTTAATGCGTTCGGCACATGCGAAGCGCGACGTTTGGAACAGGCCTAAAAGGTTAGTATAGGCTGTTAAAGAGATTCACTAAACTATTAAAGGCACACTGCTAGTGCTTAGCTTCTTCTAGACTTAACATCAGAACAGCCATCGCCTTCCCTCGGATAAAAATTGCCATAATTTGTAGATTGCTGTGCGCCCGGCAAGCATAATTAATTTTCGTAACTCACCTGAATTGCTGACATACAAACACGAATCGAGATTCAAGTCTACTAAACTTGGCGCGCGGTAAGGAGACTGCCTCTGTCGAGAATAGTGTGCTGCCTCGCTGAGGCTTGGCAGCAAAGAGGCTTCACCAGAAAAGGTGTCTGTCCTACTGACTGCGAAACAGTGGCGGCGGAACATTTTTTTGAGGGGGGGGGGGGGCAAATTTTACGGACCTAACATATTTTCTAATACACGTACCGGTTATATATATAAACCGTATATAAGCAAATATAAACTTCAAATATGGTACCATATATAAACTTCAAAATTTGGAATCTTATCCGGGGTTTTTGGGGAGGGGGGCTTTGGCCTCCCACTTTTATTTTCAGCCTCTATTCTGCCAAAAAGTCGAATCGCGTGTAGAATGATCTCAAAACATATCGATCTTATCCCCAAAATTATGTTGGTGTTTGATGAATTATGATTATTTGGATTATTATTATGATTATTGGCGTTTGATGAATTATGATTATTTGGATTATTATTATGATTATTGGCGTTTGATGAATTATGATTATTTGGATTATTATTATGATTATTGGCGTTTGATGAATTATAATTATTTGAATTATTATTGATTATTGGCGTTTGACGAATTATTCATGATTTATGAATTACGAAATCAATATACATCTATTCTATTCTACATGTACAGTATAATAATTACAATGAGCCTCGTCCTTCGGATTCATGCAATTTTCATAGTCTTTGAAAAATTTACTCGTTCATGGTTTTTCCAAATTGCACTCGAAACCATACTATTACCTATACATATACAGTATTATTGGCACAATTAATACTTGACTGTATCAATAGAGGCACAGAAACTTTAGTTTCACTAACGTTTTGCTATTTTTACTCTGTCTTTTGTAGAGAAATGCAAAAACTAACAATAATGACATAATCGATGGACCAGAAGTTGTTCTCTCTGTAGCACTGTATCACCCAGTTAAGGTATTAACAATTTTGTATGATTATTAAGTGGATTATATGACACAAGTATACATTGATTGTATTCAATGCAATTAAAATCTTTTTTATCCATTCTACATGTAATAGTTAATTAAAGTTCAAGAATTTCTAGTCGTTGGAAGACAGGTATGATATTGTAACGAATTTTGTATTCATATAGACGAGTCATAAGAACCTTTAATTCTTCTTGCTTTTTTGTGCGATTTGGATCTCAGCAAACAAATAATTTGTTTTATAGTCATCCATGTGGGTGTCTATCTAGTACACGTATGTCGTCACCATCCGTCCCAACGCAGATGATAAATATATATGAGAGGATAGGTTTTTTAGGCCTGATCCTCGTTTTAGGCTTGAATTTGTGTCTATAGCTCTCAGCTTTTTCGCCAATGTACAGAAAACTACGGATGTCACCGAAGTGTGCGAACGCATCAAAAGTTCGTTCTATAAAAAGGTGATCGGCTGTTTAAAATTAGAATTGTAAAATGGCATTTATGCACGTCTTAATCGTCGTATTGCTGCATGTATCAGAACTTCGTATGAAGGTCGAAGCTTCTTAAGATCGTAAACTTGCACGAGTTTAACCACATGAATTTTATAACGTGTGATTATTTTGTCGTTTTCAGACCTTGACTGAATTACGTGACAAAATATATTGTCCGGCAGATTCCATTGTTGTTGGGGAACACAGCGAAAACCCAGAATTCACGACAGTTACAACTGCCAAGGTGAGCAAAATTATAGTGATTTTTTCTGTGTTGGTGTAATATACTCAGGTGAATATGATGCTTGTGATGTTACTCAGAGTATATCCACACCGGGCAAGCTTGAAAAATATGCCTGGCCTGGCCACGGTGGGAAACATGCCCAAATATGCCCACCGTGGCCAGGCATATTTTTCAAGCTTGCCCGGTGTGGGTATACACTCAGAGTAACATCACAATCATCAAAATTATAGTGATTGACCGATTGTGCAACAATCGGAAATTACCTATTTATATTCATGCCACAATCTATACCCGACACCGATTTTATAATGACGTCATAATATCAGTCCACCGGTTAAAGGTGACGTCATTCATGTCGATTTTTAAACGATAATTTTCTAACGTAACATGCATGTTACTGCAACCTGTTTTAGTCAATCGGAAATATAGATAATTCTACAGATTCCGATTGTCTACTGATAAGGCAGAAATCGGCCCGATGTCGATAACGATTCAATCAATTTTTATTTAAAATGAAAACACGCTAGCCTCGCACAACTGAAAGCTGATTTGCAGGAGGGGCGTGTTATATAAAACATTAAAATATATATAATAATATTACTAAGTGCACGAAATCGTAGTGTTGGTAGTCGTAAATAGTACATACATACATACAAAACCTTATTTAAACCACGCTAGCCTCAACAACCGTGGAGGCTGATCTCCATGAGGAGCGTGATGAAATTACCTATTTAGAAGAAATACAGAAATACGACAGGAAAATACAGGTGATTTTAACTGCACGATCATGCACAAGCAAGTTTCAACTCATTCTTTGTTTCCTGCTAAATTTATCCTGCTACCAAAATCCGTAGCCTGTGTACGGACTGTATTATGCTGTAATATTAAAGATGTGAAAATTCGACTTAGTTTTGGGTAGTTGATCCTAATTAGCCTTTCTCACGCCGCCATTTTTGGGCCGCAACCTTTTTAGAACAGGGATAATAAGCAGTGAAATGTAAGTAGTTGCAAGTATAGTCATTATAAATTGATTTTCTGTTAAATATTTGAAAAATTATTTTCACATCGCTTAGATTTTTCACGTTGTTTATAAAATAGTACCCGTAAATGGCGGATTTAGACCTTTATGAGAAAGGCTAATAGGTCATAGTTAAACTCAGTGGATTCCAAGTTAGGAACAGGAAGTTAGGAACTCAAGCTCGCCCGGTGTGGATATGCACTCAGAGTAACATCGCAAACATATTATTCACCTGAGTACACAACACCAACACAGAAAAATTCATATTAGTAAGAACACATTGGTATAGAAGGAACTAGATACTGTTCCGAAATATCACTTACTCGAACCGTCCTGACCGCGTAGCTCAGTTGGAAGAGCATTGGGCTAGTATTCCAAAGGTCGGAGGTTCGAATCCCACCGTGGCCGGGCATATTTTTCAAGCTCGCCTGGTGTGGATATGCACTCAGAGTAACATCGCAAACATATTATTCACCTGAGTACACAACACCAACACAGAAAAATTCATATTGTAACAGGAAGTTAGGAACTTCTAACAGGAACTGAGGAAAATTCAATTGGGTTTTAGCAACATTGCAAATTTCCTCAAGGGATTTGCAAGGGAGTTTTTTAAATTGCAAAAGTAATGAAGAAAATTGCAATCAATTTTGAAACTCAAAAGAGGAACGCTTCGCGTAGTTTACCTGTAAGGCCTAAAAAATACCTGTGGTTCCCGTTTCATATCGTGAAAAAATTAGGGTCGGTAGGTCGGAAATAAATTTTTTTTAAAAATATTTATTTCATGGATTTCGCTGGGCGATTTTCAGTAGAGTCCCGGCATCAATATCAATTAGAGATGCGTATTTCCTATAGACGAATTTAGGCAATTTGGTTCAATAATTAGTGTGACAACAGACGCCATTCTGGCACGCTGTATGAGCAGCCCGCAACCACCCGGAGGAAATAGGGTCGCGCGGTCAATAGCGTTGAAAAAAATAATAGGGTCGGCAGAAAAAATTAGGGTCGGTCGGGAACCGGAACCACAGGTATTTTATTTTTAGGCCTAAATGAAAATTCATGCAAACGTTAGTTAAAAGAACTCAAATATTGACAAGAAGATCTCGTATTTCAAGAAGAATATTATTGCTGCTCGAATAACCTTTCGTTTGCGATTATACAGGGTGTCTAAAAAAACGCTATAGAATTTCAACATGCTGTTGTGCATCACAAACTTAACTAAACAATTCAATTTTTACATAGGACGAAAGAGCTGTTATTTAGCTTTTTTATGATGTATTTCTTAAACCGTAACGATGAGAAATGGCCACATACTCGTCAAATAAAAATGTTCTGTTGAAATCACATTCTTCCACCGTTGGGAATTGAAAATTTTGTTATGCAAAGTTAATCCAAAAGCACCGCGAGTCTGCTGCAAGGTACTTGTTTCGTAAAACGTTTTGATTACGAATGTTCTCTGTTCAGTGGTTAATGGACCATGTTTAATGCAATAATGGACGTTCTTATGGGCTCATTAAGACGAAGATTGACGAGTTGAGCTTATTTTAGATAATTTAACATTCAATTTTAATTCCCTCTTGGGAACTGTTTATGTTTCGTTTTCCATGCAATTCCCAACGGTGGAAGAATGTGATTTCGACCGGCAATATTTATTTGACGAGTATGTGGCCATTTCTCATCGTTACGATTTAAAAAGAGTATCATTGAAAAGCTAAATAACTGTTCTTTCGTCCTATGTAAAAATTGAATTGTTTAGCCACGTTTATGATGCACGACAGCCTGTTGAACTTCCATAGCGTTTTTTTTAGACACCCTGTACGTATACTACAATCGGTCAACAGATAAGTAATGTAGTTTTGCTGAATCGTGCACCGTGACTTATGTCAATACATCAAAATCACTCCATCTCACTCCTTGTAAATAGCCGCTTGATCGATTATTTATAAATAAAATTGTTTACTGTGTATAAGTACATCTTCTTCACGTATAACAAAAGAAACAGAAAACCCTTCTCGTGGTTTTATGGCGTTTGTAGTTGAACTCGGGAATATTGGGAGAGCACGGGGAAAGCGTACAAATGCCTCGTGTGTTCCACGCTTCTCTTGTGTTCTCCCAAGATTCCCCTCGTGCATCATAATACCATAAAAGCACGCGATTCGTTCTCTATTTCTCAAACAATGTTATGTAAAAGAGTAAAATGTAAAATGAAATTTTACTGCTATTTTTTAGGATATATGCCCATCTGGTTTTATATTCATTGAAGGTGTATTTTACAATGATACGAGAAATTATTTATGTCGCAATTATAGCAAGTGAGTAAACCGTGTCTCTTTTTTTGCGCCCGTGGAGCGCATGCATTGCAGTCAGGTTTGAGCAAGAATATTAGGAGGTATTTGCATGATCAAACGTCGCTGTTGAAACGTCACTGTTAATACGCCTATGTTTAACAAATATAAATAACTTTCCGTGTTGATTATCAACTGTATATCAACACGAGTGGAAATTGGGAAAACGAGGAATTGTGTGGAAACAGGACGCCCGGAGTGTTTTGAGACAATTTCACAATTTCAAAAGTGTTTTCACAAATTACGGTACATCAATTTGAAAGTTAGTAAAAATGGTATTACCTCCTCCCTCCCTCGCCAACAATTTTGGGAAAAGAAATATTAATTAGCGACCGAGATGTTGTCGGCAAATGCGATACTACACCCCCACCTTAGCCTGTTCGCTACGGTCCTGTGTACAATAGTACATTGCCAGAAACCGGAATTTAATCACGGAACTTGTAATTTTAAACTAGCGTATCATATATCATTTCAGAAGCGTTATTCCTGATGATGACTGCAAATGAGTTGAAACGTAAAATAAAAATGTTATCCGAGTGCAACAGGGATGTTTAAAACTGTACATTCAGTCCATAATGCGCGACTTTGCATGAAATTGGGACAAACGATATTGTTGGGCCTTACTTATCCTCGTTCCCAGGACATTACAGCCGCGCGCGACCTTCATAGGTCCTGGGGCACGCGGAACCAGAAGTACATGAAAACTTGCAATAGTTAAGTAGTTTCTAAAGCATATGCTCTTGAATGGACCTATTCCCTAATGAACAAAATTTTGATCTAGACAAGTCTAGACAATATTAGAATGTTAGGGTTTGTAATCCAAGTGAGTGTATATACATTTTAAGACCTAACCAGGAACGACTGCGAAAAATGCAGCACAAGGTCCTGAAAGAGCACTGATCACAAAATTAGTAATATTCCGAAGTTTCGGTGCGAAATGTTGTAAAATGCGGATAATATATCCCTGCGAAGTTTGCCGTTTTTCAGTCATTTTGTGTTACGCACGGGACATTGATACCGCTTTCTGAAAAAGGTATCAATTTCCCGCGCCTAATACAAAATGACTGAAAAACGGCAAACTTCGCAGGGCTATATTATCGGCATTTTACAACATTTCGCAACGAAACTTCGGAATATTACTAATTTTGTGACGCTCTTTCAAGCTGTGATGAAATGTTTGTCTGGACCTGATGAGATCAAAATTTTGTTCATTAGGGAATAGGTCCATTGGGACACTTGAGCACCCGTAACAATTTTCACAGACAAGTATTACGACGAAACGAATTATTTGTGTTGACATATTTCGATAGAAAAATTTTTGCCTAGTGAAAACTGCTCAACATCTGCGAAATTATAGTAGTTTTCTGAGAAACCAATCAGATCTCTCCCTTTAGTTGTCTAACCCAGAGCCTAATTTGCATCGAGTGACCGAGTGAAAATGGCTCTGAGGACGAGAATGGGACTTACTACACTGTCACTGTATCTGTCTTATGTAGAGTAATCATGGAGTGGACGAATGAAAAACATAAAGGTCAGCAACCTCGATACGGTGTTTGCACTAGCAAGAAAATGGAAGAGACGAAGTTTGAAGATTTAACAATTAAACTTGGCTATCCATATGTGTATACACACCAGGGTAACTGTGAACATTTGCTGATATTTCGCGATTTAAGGTACAGTTTTGATGCAGTTATGCTCCTTCATGCGATTAGAAGCTATTTTAAATTCCCAAGAGTAGAAAATCTTATACTTAGCAAGAATAGAGTTATTTATTAAAGTATTGTTTTTTAATACACCCTTTTTTACGCTTCCGTCGGTTCAGCATATTTAATGCTCATGCATTCAAATTATTACAATAGGAAAATTTCAAAAGGTATACGTTTTTCGGACACTCTTTCTAAGTAAATTATTTATTTCGCACGTGTTTCATGCATGCATACTAGTGAGTATATCTCAAACTCATAATTCATGAGTAAATTAGCCAACCGTATTGCGTTATTTTTGCAAATTTGCTCACATGATAATACTGGATACATGGTGAAGTATATTGATTAAGTCCTTAGACTGGATCAAAATTAATTCACCTCACTAAAGTGATTACTTAAAAGTAGTGATTTATTCGTATGAGATGTCATTTCAAATCCTCCAATTTGGACTGCATGGACTACATTTCAAGTCCTCGTATTTTGATCTAGCCTCGCATGCATTTCTCAACTGTTATGTTCTCTCAAAATATGTTTGTCATATCTTGCGTAGTTCTCGAAATATTTACACGAAAATTAAATGAGCTCTCCGACATCTTGGACTAATTCTTGACCTCATTAACTAATGGTCTTGATGACGCCAGGAATTGGATTAACATATCAAACTACTCTAAAATGACCGAGTAACAATCCAAAATTGTTTGAAATGTTTCAAATCATTTCTAAATTTCAGACAGCAACCAGAAACGAAGTTTTGGACCCATATTGATCGCTTACTCTCAACGGATAAAGAGTCTCAATAGGGAGTTTACGATCCACGACGCGGCCGGCTCAACGACTCGGTCTAAATTTCAGCTCAAGAATGAGCGCTAAGCAAGTTGATTACTGTAATAAATATTTGACGTTTTTTCAAATAACCTTACAAACTGCTACGTTCGGCTGAAGCGATGCACTATTTGCTGTAATTTCGACTTTAAGCAACACCTCTTGAGGCTCATTAACTATTAAGCTTTCACGTTGCCTGAAAGACGCAATAATGCTTGTTTAACGTTGTGTTGAGAATGACAACGCGGTTGAGAATACCCCTGGGACCGCGAATTATTCACAGTTTTTATCTCGCATAAATAAATTTCTTTGTTTTGAAAGCGTGTCGTCGAGCCGGTTTGAGATTCGAGGGGAAACAAAACTAACAATTTCCCGAGGGAACATAATTAAGCGTTTTGTTATACAGGGTGTCCCAAAAACCCCGAAAACTATTGAAATAACGTATTGTTTGGCCCGGTTTAGACGCCGTACTTTTCATGAGCCGAACTTAATACAATGAATTAAGCACATGAGAAGCACGGCGTCTAAATCAATTAAGCACTGCACTTAATATTAAGCACGGCTAAATTAATAAGTTCGCCTGGTTCAGGCGTGCTACACGGCTGAAGCACATGTTGATTTATACTGTCGTGCTTTACATGAGCTCTGACATGAACCGTACCAAATGCATAAATTATGATAATATAGATCATTTATAGTACGCGAGCGTTGATTGGTCGAGAGGCGTGTTTCTACACGGGAAATTTCCCGCCTAAACTTACAATCGTAAACAAAACAATTTTAATGGGCCTTATCGGCAAATTTCGCAGTAGAATTTCCCTTTCTTTTCTTTATATACGTCAATTTGTAACAAAGGATACATCTTTCGTTAGATTCTTTGCATAAAAGTTGCGAAATTAAGGCTTATAGCGATATTTGCTGATAAAGGCAAAAAGGGTTTCTTGCAGTGTAATTAATGGAGCAAAGGTCGGCATTATTACGTAATGAGAATTTGTAAATATATCGAGTAAACTACAAATCTTTTTTTAGTTATATTATGAAATAAATATAAAACATTTATTATGTGTGACCCATACAGTTATAAAAAACTCGCCAATAACGTGGAAAAACTCGCCCTAAGCCAGTGGCGTACCCAGCTCGATAATTGGGGGGGGGGGGGCATATTCATATATTCGTGTTCTGCATTATTAGTTTCTTGTGAAATTGATTGTCTTTACGATCTGTGAATACGAATATATGAATATGCCCCCCCCCCCTCCCCCACTTATCGAGCTGGCTACACCAGTGCCCTAAGAGTATAGATCTCGTTTTCCCACACATTATATCCAGGCATTATGCTATGTTTGTAGTAATAAGGCTTTTCAAAAAGCATTTGAAATTTTTAATAACCGCAAACCTGTAGACGCTCAGAAATGCCAAGATTGTATGTGATAAACCTTTTTTTTCTTATTATGAAATGTCACTCGCCCCAGGTTTCGAAGTGAAGCAGCGCAAATTATTAAGTACGGCTCATGAAAAGCACGCCTATCTAAATCAAAATTGGAAGTACGCCTATTTTACTCGAGTAAAATATGAATTAAGTTCGGCTCATGAAAAGCACGGCGTCTAAACCGGGCCTTAGAATCTGAATGTCTCAGCACTCTGCTGAACCCACGCGTGCATCAAAGCTTGCCGTAAGTAAATTTTATGCATGAAAAAACCGTTTAAGGTGGCTCGATACAGTTTTCAAAAATTCAGGTGTTTAACACTTTGACATGTTCAAACTACGCATTTTTAGGATTTATTCAGCAGATATTGGGTTTTTTATATATTTTGATAACTCTACTTTCAAATTATATTCGTTTTAGTAACAGATAGTTCGTTGCTATGACGACATATGTGTACGAAATTGACTCCAAAATGGCCTATCGTCTCGTATAGTTGGAAAAAAAGCATGGTGACCCCCAATTTTTTTTCGTGCATTATTTTACTTGGACGAAAAGCTAACAATTAGCAAAATATAAAAAATTTCTGTAATGCCATTTTTTTTGGAAAATGCGAAAATGTCATATTCTTTGGTAACATTTTTTTGGCATTACAGAATTTTTTTATTTTTTGTATAATGAAAATTTTTAGCGGTGCAATACAGCATGCAAAATTTGAACATAGGTCACCAGACAAAATAAAGAGATATAGCGCATTGTTTTTTCTAAAATGGAAAATTCTAATGACGTCAGCAATTGACATAAAACGCTATAGAACACGCGCAATGGCGTGAGATGGCGCGAGCAACTGCTCACGTCAGGTCATGTTGGAAGTTCTTTCATTTTGTTAATCAGTTTCCGCGACCTGCGCGTAAAAATGGTCACCCGGTTTTGAGTTCGTGATTCTTGAACAGGGTTTTTGTGATAACTATATCGGGCCACCTTAAGAAGCTGTTTTAAATTCCCAAGAGCAGAAAATCGTACGCTTTACAAAGATATTTTAATTTCTTAATAAGTCAATAGTTAATATACAGGGTGTCTCAAAAAAACCCAAAATCATTGAAATTGACGTATTGTTCGATATTCAATGCCCTAGCACTAAGTTAATCCCACGAGTGCATAAAAGATTGACATAACTGCTATAATGAATGGTAATACTCAGCGTAAACTTGTTATGTCGGGCATAAAGTACTAAACCCACGAATGCATATTACGCATATTACAATTTACGAAGCATTTTTAAATTCCCATGAGCAAACAAACGTTCACTTTACAAAGATATTTTAATTTTTTAAAACAAATTAATCACCCTGTCAAAATCCTTTGTGTTACGGCATTGAAATTCGAACAATACGTTATTTCAATGATTTTGGTTTTTTTTGAGACACCCTGTATAAAAAAAAGAGACCTTTAGAAATCAAGCATATTGTTAGAAATTTGAATGCCTCTTCAATTGCACATATGCATATATTAGTGCATATACATAGTGCATATATTAGAAAAAGGAGACCTTTAGAAATCGAAATAACGTTTAAACACAAGATTGGCTGCTCCTGGGAACAATCTGCCATGGAACCTGGGAATAATCTGCCATGTACATACAGGGTGTATAAAAAAAAACGCAACCTCGGAATTTCCCAAGAAATCGACATTGTTTTAAAGACAAAAGATTTTAGGCGCCTGGGAATTTAAAATAGCACAACTGTCAAAATTACTGCACACGCGAGTGCATAAAAAAAAAATTATGCATTTATTATTAGACAACAACAGTAATATGATCTATTAGCAATGCGATTGCAATTCCCAGGGGCCTAAAATCTTTTATGCTTAAGAATTGCAAAGTGATTTCTTAGGAAATTCCGAGGTTGCGTGTTTTTTTTTATACACCCTGTACATCACCGACTTATTGTCATTTAAACCCGAAGGCAATTACCATTTAGGATCAGATGATTATTCGTTGCTGCAAATTCCCAAAACAAACTCAAAAACACTTGGAGATAGATCTGCATTTAAGCATGCTGCTCCTCTAATATGGAACTCTCTCCCACTTAACATTAGGCGGTGTGAAACTGTTAACTGTTTTAAAACTCATTTAAAGGCATTTCTATTTAGGAAGGCGTATAAATAGACCAATTTTTAAGAACTATTAGTGTATATATACAGGGTGTCCCAAAAAAAAGTGACACTATAGAAATTATCTCATTGTTCTTAAGCCGCTCTTAAACGCGCGTGATTACACGCCTGGCAATTTAATGAACTTGTATTTAATTTAAGCATTTTAAAACGTTTTCGCTTTGTCCAAATATTTTAACGCCTGAGTCAAGCAAAACGTACCCTGGTTCCAGAGGTTTAAAATAAACCTCTGGTGGTTGAAAGCGGCAATTGATTCATCGAGCCGCGCCAATCAGTTTGAAATAGGGTCAGATCCTGACTCTGTCTCCTGATTGGATGATTGTATCAAAGCTCTCTGATTGGTTATAGATGTTTTATTTGAATCAATCAGAGAGCTTTAATACAATCATCCAATCAGGAGACAGAGTCAGGATCTGACCCTAATTCAAACTGATTGGCGCGGCTCGATGAATCAATTGCCGCTTTCAACCAGAGTTTAAACCTCTGGAACCAGGGTAAGCAAAACGATTACACTAATAAACGATTTGCTTTTTTATTTTAAGTTCCAGAAGCAGAAGTTTATGCACCTGTGGGATCAACTTAGTGCTAGGGCATTCAAATTATAACAATAGGATAATTTCTATAGTGTCACTTTTTTTTGGGACACCCTGTACAGGGTGTATCAAAAAAAGCGCAACCTCGGAATTTCCCAAGAAATCGACATTGTTTTAAAGACAAAAGATTTTAGGCGCCTGGGAATTTAAAATAGCATAACTGTCAAAATTACTGCACACGAGAGTGCATAAAGCAAAATTTATGCATTTATTTAATGCACAACAACAGTAATATGATCTATTAGCAATTCGATTTCAATTCCCAGGGGCCTAAAATCTTTTATGCTTAAGAATTGCAAAGTGATTTCTTAGGAAATTCCGAGGTTGCGTTTTGAGACACCCTGTACAGGGGTTAGGTTAAAACGCGGAAGCGGATGCGGAACGGGACGGATGCGGAACGGATATGCGGAACGGAACGGAACGGATATGGGGTTAAAATGCGGAACGGAACGGAAATGCGGAACGGAACGGATATGGGGTTAAAATGCGGAACGGAACGGATATGGGGTTAAAATGCGGAACGGAACGGATATGGGGTTAAAACGCGGAACATGAAAAATCATGCCTGTTTTTAAAAAACGTTTTACTCCCGTTCCGTTCCGCGTTTTAACCCCATATCCGTTCCGTTCCGATTTTAACCCCATATCCGTTCCGTTCCGCATTTTAACCCCATATCCGTTCCGTTCCGCATTTCCGTTCCGTTCCGCATTTTAACCCCATATCCGTTCCGCATTTCCGTTCCGTTCCGCATTTTAACCCCATATCCGTTCCGCATATCCGTTCCGTTCCGCATTTTAACCCCATATCCGTTCCATTCCGTTCCGCATTTCCGTTCCGTTCCGCATTTTAACCCCATATCCGTTCCATTCCGTTCCGCATTTCCGTTCCGTTCCGCATTTTAACCCCATATCCGTTCCGTTCCGCATATCCGTTCCGTTCCGAATTTTAACCCCATATCCGTTCCGTTCCGCATATCCGTTCCGCATCCGCTTCCGCGTTTTAACCTAACCCCCCTGTACAGGGTGTCTCAAAAAAACCGCTACCCTTAGAAATTCACCATTGTTCTAATTTGAATGCCTGAACCTTGTTGAAGCCATGAATGTGTAAACATTTTCACAGGATGCATATATTAAAGATCTTCGGAAAAAGCAAAATTTTTTATCCTGGGAATTGAAAATAGTTCATACAAAAGTATAACTGCACGAAAATCGTTCAATTACATATTAGTGAATGTCAAGCAAATGGCTCAACTGAGCACAGAGCAAAGAGTATTTTTTGTCTTAAATTACCCATGAGTTCAAGATAGCACTCAGGCATTCAAATTAGAACAATGGTGAATTTCCAAGGGTAGCGGTTTTTTTTAGACACCCTGTAGAACGCATGTTACGCACTCGTGGGCTTAGCAAAGTGCTCCGATGGATTCAAATTATAACAATGGTTGGTTTCTAAAGGTCTCCTTTTTCTAATATACGCACTCATCAATATTTCACGCACCACGGTTCAGCATATGTGCAATTGAAAAGGCATTCAAATTTTAACAATATGCGTGATTTCTAAAGGTCTCCTTTTTTTATACACCCTGTATGCACCCTTGCCAATATTTTACGCACCTTTGCGTTCAACTTAGGGCCTGTTTATATGGAAGCCGGGCTGGCCCGCTTAGCGAGACAGCCCGGTAAGCGAGATCTCGCTGTGTAGTTATTTTTATAGTGAAAATTATCGTGCATTTATATGGACAAGCGGGCTGGCCCAGTTGCCGAGATCTCGCTTGAAAGAGGCGAGATCTCGCTTACCGGGATGGAAATTTCTCCATATAAACACTCACAAGCGGGCTAGCCCGGTTGCTGGGATGAAATTTCAAAGATACCGCCGCAAGCTATTTTTAACAACTGTCAAAACAACATCAATGTAACAAAATTGTCCCGGCAAGCGGGCAATCTCGTACCCAGAGCCATCGTTGAGTGGCTCTGGCCACACGGGATTGAAAAACGATCCTGATTGGTCGATCCATAAGCTATTGGACCATACCCCCTGTGGCGTTCACGAGCGCGGCCAATATGAGTGAATACGATATATTTGCTAATATTTTGCCTGAAAATTTGCTTATTTCGACGAATTTTTTGTTGCTTTTCGTCCGAAAAAGTGGTGAAGGGATTAAAGAGTTGATTTATGCATACATGAATTCATTTGGGCAAAATAACAGGCTTCGTTATGGTAATAATTCATACTCTTGCTGATAAGCATGCTCCAGTCAAACAAAGAAGAATAAGGAAAAATTGTGCCCCATGGCTCTCTGTAGATATCAAGAAATTAATATGGGAACGAGATCGATTGAAGCGTAAAGCAGTTTATACTAATGATGAAAATGATTGGGTCAATTTCAAAACAGCTAAAAATCTAGTTAACTATAAAATTAGAGATAGTAAAAAGCAATATTATAATTCTCTGTTTCAACTCAACGTAGGTCGAACTAGAGAAACTTGGAATGGTATCAACAGTCTTCTTTCTAAATCTAAAAATTCAACTACTATACCAAAAATCTTGCAAGATGAAATCGAAATTACTGACCCAGTAACTATTAGCAATGTTTTTAATAAGCATTTCACTGAAATCGGACCTAAATTAGCAGCACAAATTCCAACAACTGGTGCGGCCTCTTCTAACATTCCGCAATGTAATGAAGTTTTTGAATTACATGAAGTTACTCCATCTCAAATAGATGGACTAATTTATAAATTATCGACTTCTAAGGCTAGCGGTCTTGATAACATTCCTGTTCGTTTATTAAAACTAATTAATTTCACTACTGTGGTTTCACTTACTCACATTATTAATCTAGTAATTCGCAAGGGAATTATTCCCGCTGACTGGAAGTGTGCCAGGGTATCAGCAATTTATAAACATGATTCAAAACTAGATTTGAATAATTATAGGCCTATTTCAGTCCTTCCTGTAGTTTCAAAAATTTTTGAAAAAGTTGTCTTTGACCAAGCATATACCTTTTTAAAAAAAAACAACCTTTTATCTGACATACAGTCAGGATTTAGACCTCTTCACTCAACGTTAACAGCTATGCTTGATGTCACTGATAAATGGTACACTAACATGGACAGTGGGTTAATAAATGCTGTCTTATTCATTGATTTAAAAAAGGCTTTTGATACCATTGATCATAAAATTTTACTACAGAAGTTAGCTTGTTACGGTTTCAACAAAGAAGCGATTGATCTTTTTAGAAACTATCTTTCTGATCGTACTCAAATAACAGTTATTAACAACATACGATCTGATACTCGTAAAGTAACCTGTGGAGTTCCTCAGGGATCTATCTTAGGTCCACTACTGTTTTTAATATATATATAAACGACCTACCTAATAGTGAATTGGTATCAGATGGGCGTTTATTCGCTGATGATACCAACTTGACTTTTGCGGACAGCAGCCCTGACAAGTTGATTTCTGTTCTAAATGACGACCTTAAAACTCTCCAAAACTGGCTTAACCAGAATAAACTAAGCCTGAATGCGGTTAAAACTAAATGTATGTTTATGGCATCCAGGCAAAAATTAAGTACTATTCCTGAAGAACCTAATATTGCTATCGCCGGAAACAAAATTGAAAGAGTTAGATCTTATAAGTGTTTAGGTTTAAAACTGGACGAGAGTTTGACATGGGAGCATCATGTTTCTACTATAATCTCCAAAGTCTCCAAGGTGATTGGAGTTCTACGAAGACTAAAACCATTGCTCCCACAGTCAACTCTTGTCATGATCTATAACTCTTTAGCACAGCCTTACTTTGATTATTGTAGTATTGTCTGGGATAGCCTAGGTAAGGGTCTTGGACAAAGGTTACAGCGATTACAGAATAGGGCCGCAAGAATTATTACTGAATCTGATTATAACATCCGGTCATCAGATATTTTAACATCATTGAATTGGACCAACCTTGAAACCAGACGTACCCAACAGTTCAAAACTTTTATGTACAAAACTGTTAATAATATGGTTCCTAGTTATTTGTCTGGAAAATTTACTTCCACGTCAATGATACACGAACATAGTTTGCGTGGATCTAATCATAAACTTTTTGTACCAAGACCCTTAACGGAATCCTTGAAGAAAAGTTTTTCCTGTAGAGGAGCTACCCTATGGAATGACATACCCGTCGAACTCACTAGAGTTCAATCTCTCGCTGAGTTTAAATCTAAAATATCTTAATATTTCTTTTATATTAGTTTCTTTGCATGTGTAGTTTGTTACTTTTGTAAATAGTTTGATACTTTTTTATTAGTAATTAGTCGACTAGTATAGGTACACGTCTCCATTGAAGAGCACATAACATAACCTGTGAAATGGACCTCGTGTTTTAAATAAAGATGTCAATCAATGTCCTTGATCTACTATATTGGAGTGTTATTACTGGAAAGAAATTCAAGCGTACAACACTTACAAGCGTACACGTATGCTAGGACTGTGTTTATACAAGATTTGGGATTTTTTAATTGGACTGTAAATGTATGAATCATCATGGTGTGAATGTAACAATTAAACAGCTGAAACAGCATTTGGATTCACTTGCAACTTGCTTGATGGAATTGTTTGATGATATATTGTTTCTGTTAACAGTATTGCCTGTACAACTCTGTCAGAAACATTGGTGTTAGTAGCCAAAAAAGATTTCATTAAAGCCAGGCCATGTAAAGTATGTAATGTAAACAAACCCTTTGTTTACATTCTGAACCCAGTGCTTTTGTTGTAGAATATTAGATATATATTATACATAATGTTTAACTCTTCTGGTTTGCTATGCTTGTAAATGAATACAGACCAGAGATTCAATTCAAGAAAGTTTGGAAGGTGCAAAATATTAATAACATTCCAATGGTCGGGTCCCAAGCATTAATTGGAATGTAGGCCTGCAGAATGCATGCGCAGAACAGACTTTACATGGTCATTAACAATAGGAGTATGTACTACATACAGTATATAATAATATGAAACCGCCTACACAATTTATACAATGGTTCCACTAAAACTGGTAAATGAATTATTGTCAACTATTCCACAGTCTTGCTGTGCTGAGTGGTTATATAGTAATACTACCTGGAAAAAAACAAGCAGAAACTCGACATTGGCTACTAACTCTTGATGAAGGGCCTTCGCTCGAACATCAAATTTTTGCTTGTTTTTTCAGGTAGTACTATATATAAATATCAGATGTTCATTCTTGTAATGGACAACTGAGTATGCAACAATTAACAATTGTATTTGAAGCCCAATGCTCAACAAAAACAAATTTACTTTTTCAGAATATGACTACTAAAACCAAATTTTAGGTTTATTAGTAAACTATCATGATATAACTTCATACATCTTTAACAATTTCAGGACCGCCAAAAGTAGGGATGCAGGCAAAAGCCCAGTTCAAAAGGGGCCTCCAAAGCACAAAGAGTTGTGTCAGTGCCAGATAATATGCTGTAAAGTGTAATATATTGTAAAACACCTCTTCTCCCATTTAATAATTATGATGTCATGGGACCCTTGGGAAAACTTAATGATGTCATATGGTTACCCTGGAAGAGTTTTACTCTGGGCCCTGCACAACCTCCCAGTGGTACCATAAAATAAATTGCAAGTTCTGAAAAACCTTTATTGATTTCAATAATGTGTCATTCTACACATCAACCTATATCAAGCAATACAAGCATGAAAGTATAAATGATATTACACTTATTCAAGCAGGGCATTGTTATTAGTCAGGCCAGGTGTGATTCTTGATTCTTTAACCTAACTACTTTTTATCACATAACTAATGAGCAATGCCACTTCTCCAACAATACTATTCCTTTCTTGAGTATTTCATTATATTAGACTCTTCATTATAATGCAACATGCCAAGCTGTTGACTGTTCCAGAATACAGAACTGTACAATTTTGACTAATGAAACTGATCAATGCCACTTCTCCAACAATACTATTCCTTTCTTGAGTATTTCATTATATTAGACTCTTCATTATAATGCAACATGCCAAGCTGTTTACTGTTCCAGAATACAGAACTGTACAATTTTGACTAATGAAACAGATTTCCATCAGTTTCTGGATGTACTGGTATTGGCATAATAAAAAGATTATCAAATGTACAGTCCCAGGTGTATCTGAAAGAAATGCAATACTAAAGTTATAAAATAGTCAACCATTAAACACACACTGGTATACTGCTACAGGCTTTTGCTCAATTGCTACAGCAGTACAGGCCTTCTTTATTGAGAAAAATATCTTTATTTTATCATTGTATGAAGAATAATATTTGGTTTTAAATTCCCTAGGTATGATAGATTCATAATAATGCATGTATAATAGTAATAAATACTGGGTATATGATCAGCTCACAGGATGCTATAGAAATGCTGCATTTTTAGGGGGTACGCAATTTCTTTTGCGGTATCCTAAATAGACTACAATTAGGATGGAAATTCAGAGCCCAAGATTAAAAAATTAACCTTGAAACAAAATAACATAAACAATATAAATTGTAACAAATTAAAGAATATTTAAAGTATTAAACCAAGGCAGTGTGCAACAAGCAACGTTCTTGCTCAAGAATAGCCTATTTAATAAAGCTGAGAGTCATTAAATTACATTTATTAACATTTTGAAGCCATTTGAGACAAAATAAATGATCGATGACTCGATGAGTGTTGACATGTGTACAAGCCGGTGTTTCAATCATCTCAAATTACTTGTTAAACGGAAATCACACGTGCACTCAGTATCCTTGTTGTTCACACAAACTGCGCCGAACATATTTTAATGCTTTTGACGGGAAAAATTGCGATTTTATTGATATTTTCAGCAAAAAGTTAGCTCTCCACTCCTCTTGAAAATACTATGGCGCGCGCGAATTCCCGGAGAATGGGTACGAAATAGTTAATTGGAAAATACTGTACCACAGAATAAAGAACAGTAACAGAAGGGCCACTCAGCGATGCAACGTGTCCGCGTTTTTTTATGCAAAAATATGCAGTTTACTGGCCAGAAGGCGGAGCAACCAGCCAGTACAGCGTGTTTATTGGCCAGAAAATGTCATTGACTGGCTAGGAAAATGGCGGCCAACATGCGTAATGCGACATGCGCGAGGACAGAAACATCAAAGCTTCCGACGTAAGTGGCCCTTCTATATGGATCTTTATTCTATGACTGTACTTTTACCGTATTTTCTAATTAACTCAACTCGTGTGGCCAGAGCCACTCAACGATGGCTCTGGGTACGAGATTGGCAAGCGGGATGAAATTTTCTCATATAAACACAAGAGAAATTCATCCCGCTTACCGGGCTGTCTCGCTAAACGGGCCAGCCCGGCTTCCATATAAACAGGCCCCTAGTGCTAGGGCATTCAAATTTTAACAATACGTTATTTCAATGGTTTTGCGGGTTTTTTGGGACACCCTGTACAGGGTGTATAAAAAAGGTAATCGAACTTCAGCGCGCTATTGTATCTGAATTACTCTGCGTATGAACGAGATTTTTTCACATTCGGAAATATCATGCTTTTAGCTGTTGAATGATATCTTCTTCATGCCAAATGGATAAAAAATGAGCAAATACGAATCCGATAAAAAATGTTAGTCAGAATCGCCTCTTTTCACCGTTGAGAGTTGGGTCTAAAACCATTGAAAATGAACCCCCTTTGGTACTTAAGTTGTGAATTTCACTTCAATAAACGACGCACATATTCATAATTATTATTAAGTAGGAATAAATCTTAGCTAAGCTACGACACGTTCGTGATTAATTGCTTTTTCTTTTGTTATGCATTGTTTTAATTAGGCACAGAGGTGAAAATATGCGATTTTGACTAACATTTTTAATCGGCCTCGTACATGCTTATTTTTTCTCCACTTGGCATGAAAAGCATGTCATTCAATAGCTAAAAGCCTGATCTTTCCGAATATGAAAACCAATTGTTCATACCAGGGTTTTTTTCAGGATTTTCTCTTGTTTTTGAGAAAGATTTTGCAGAAAAGATTGAGTTTAGCTGAACAGCTCGGGGTGTGGGGCAGCTGCGGGAGTCTGACACCTGTAGTAGGCTGTACCCAATAAGTGTAGTTGAGACGCAATGTGTTAAAGCAGACACTATAAACTGGTTAAAGATGGCGAATGCGTTTGTTTTTCTTGTGTTGTGAAATGAATTCCAGCCATTTTTTCCAGATTGTCGAGTTTCCAACTGAAACTAATTTCCACACGTCACGAATTTTCAAACAACTTCATTTTTACTGCACTGAAACTTTAGGTGAGAAGATTGAATTTCAAAACTCAATTCAAGATTGAGTTTTTGGGGCCGTATTACGGTCCTAAAAAATCCCTGAAAAAAACCCTGCATACGCCGAGTAATTCACGTATAACAGCGCGCTGAAGTTCGATTACCTTTTTTTTTTATACACCCTGTACAACGACGAACAAAAATTAACATTCATACAACAATTGTAGTTCGTGACAAAAATTCTATAGTGCATGTAAACGAGTTTAAAATTAAAAGAACCTACTTAAATGGTTTCAGCAGCATATCCTGTTGCCTGTTGTGTATTTTTCTTCTCTTTTACATTCTTTATTTGAACACAAACATGGAAAATCATAGTTTCTAATTATGCTAGTTGTGCCGCCATTTTGTTTATTTATGTACGTAGCCGGTCGGAGCGGGCAACAATTTTTCACTTATTGCCCAGCGGGATACATTGCATTTAAGTCACGTGACTACAAATCAGCCAATCGCGTTTGTTGTTCACCCTAGCTATATAACAACCCATTTATTGTGTGTTCTGTTTTCATATTTTGCTTTGCCTTTCTCTTTAGAATGTTGCACGGTGATGATCCACAAAGTGTCTCGAACTATCCTTTTCCCACATTTCGACCCCGTCCGAAAAGACAAAGGTGCATGATATGTTCAATCTACAGTGCGAGGTAAGCCACAAAAGTTCAGTGTACGGTATACGGTATTTGGGGCTAAATTTTTGCTTTGGTAGTTCAATTTCTCCTTCGTGATATATTCTGAATGCGTAATGAGCTAACTTGTGGGCCCACAGATCGGAATTTTAATTAAATTATCTATTGTTTGAAACAAAAATGTAAACAAAACACGCGCTTGAGCAAAACGGACTTGACAGCCTCTTTAAGGTTTTGGAAGGACAACCTTAATTGAGTCAGCTGTATAAAGCCGGTTTTCCACAAGCGAATTTTTTCGCGCGAAGCGACCTTTTTCCTTTGTCGGTATCACCTATTACGTAAACAAGACGTGGCAAAATGGATGCCGACAAAGGAAAAAGGTCGCTTCGCGCTAAAAAATTCGCTAGTGGAAAACCGGCTTAAGTCATGTTAGAGGGATGTTTACTTTTTTACAATAACAATATGCAAATTAGGTAAATGCATGAATTAAGCATGCATTTGTGCCAAAAAATGAAAGTATCAGCAGCTATTTAAAGGATTTAAAATAGAGTAAATTTTCTGATATTTGGAGCATTGATAAAACACATAACAAATTTCTCGCCCATGAACTCAAAATGCGTTTTAAACTTTTAAATTTTGCGCGCAAACTATTTTAATACTGCTTAAAAAGACACACTTCTCTTGCTCTGGAAAATGTATCTTTAGGAAAATGTTTTGTTGGTTCTACATGATATAAGTACCCAATTTATCAAAAATTTCATGAAATGAATGGATTTGTGAAATTGAGAACCTGTAGTGCTTCCTTACAAGTAAATAGTGTACATTTGTGTGGACCGCACCGATATAATGGGTTGTTGAAATATATGTATTCAGCGACTGAGCGACGTCTTATCAGTGTTTCCTTAATTTGCGCGTTAAAGAGAGTCCGGTAAAATCAACCCTCAACCATTAGCTACCTGTTTTTAAATTTGATGAAAGTTGTAACATATTGTTTTCTTTTAAATGAAGGTGGTTGACTCGAAATGATCTCTTAATGTCAGAAGACCCAAGTTTATTCTGTGAAAGTTGTTTTAAGTCTTTACACTACAAGAATAATCAGAAAGCGTACACGTTCAGTGCTTATCAGTACTCTGGCCACTATTATTGGTAATGGCGAATGAAGATGGCCAAATGAAGGACAACAACCTCTCTCCCGAAGCATTTTTAGTACGCATGTGCTACTGTGAATCTCTCGGAGAGAATAGTAGAATCCCAGAATTCAGTAGCGGCCCCATTACTTACGGTTTTATCCGCTGTTAGCAGCCGCTGCTTTCGGAGGGAGGGGAGGGCGCTATACTTATAGGTGGCACTATTTTGGGTTGCATGTAAGTTTTGTTAATATAATATGCTAATATACTGTGAAATATGTTACTATATAAATTAGAACATTTTGGTAACATTTTGTAACATATAAGATATATTCAATATTTACTTATATGCACAACGAAAAAGGTTATCTTAGGATAAATATTAATGCCCAGCATAAAACACGTAAAAGAGCCATAACAAAAATATAATTTAAAATATTTATTATAGCTTTGTATGTCATTGCTCTGAAGATGTCTTCAGTTAAAGACGAAACGTTAGCTTTCTAATAAATATTTTAAATTATATTTTTGTTATTATGGCTCTTTTACGTGTTTTATGCTGGGCATTAATACTTATCCTAAGATTACGATTTCCGCCTGGTTCATCTATCGCAAGTATTTTGAAAAAGGTTATTCATTACAGAAATGTGGGGCAGTTTGGTAAATTGGACATTGTGCAGCTAGCAGCAACAGTTGATTGTGTAACATGGTAAGGTTACAAAATTACCAATTAAGAACTTGTCATTTAGTCTCCTTCGCAGCCTGTTCGCGGGTGCGATGATGCGGTTGCCATTCAGCCTTTGAGAAAGCCAAAATGGCGGACACTGACGTCCAAATTATATGGAGGTCGTAAACAGTTGTCATACCATTTCCCCCCAGCTAACGCCAGTTTTTGTGGCTAGCCCGTTCGCGGGCTAGCCACTATGATACGGGATGAGCGGTGGTGGTCGGTCAACGATGTCTGTCCGGATTGTCGTGAAATTATCGTGAGCGGAAGTGAGGCCGACAGTATGGCGATCGTTTGTTTCGTGGTTTCGGTTATCATCGGAAATTTGGCGGAAGTGATGAGGCCCGACAGTTTGACGATCGGTTATTTCGGTTTTCATCGGAAATTTTTGAACTTCATGCCTGATAAACACAGTGAACTCTATATATATATATATATCTGGAACGATAACAGCGAGCGAAAAGTGAAGCCGACAAAAAAAATCACGACATAAGTATTCGTCATCGTCTTCGTCATCAACTGTTCAAGAACTTTCTTACAGTATTAAAAATCACTTACATGTAAAATTTGTAATTGTTTTGAAAGTTTTTATCACAGTTTTTATATCTTTATTCACTTTTAACCTGAAGGTGGAGTTATACTCCGAAACGTAGTTATTAAAATAATTTTTTACTAAGCCCATATGGTCTAATTTATATTCAAACACACGTACATGTTCATTTACATTTTGCTGGCAGGCAAATTCCGATCACACAATAAATTCTTTAAAAAATAACGTACCAGTGTATTGACTAAAAACTATAAAACGGGTAAACTAAAAAACAATTCAAACAATCGCGAAAAATGGCAACGGCAAAGTCACAGTTGCAAGTCAATTTACCTACCTGTGAAATGAAATTTTCTCGCAAGAATATCTCTTTCCTTGTGCATCCAGAACGACAGTACGACACAATATATTCGAAAAAGTGATTCTTTTCTCCACACAGGGAAGTTTTCCTCAACTTTTTCCGACAGCGAACTCAATGCAGGAAATTTTAGGAGCAAAACAGTTCGCTCCTAAAATGTATTGCATTGAGTTGGCCATGTTTTTAATTTTTTTTCGTGATTGCGTTCAAATTTATACTGGCCGTGCAACGGTTTGCAAGAGGGGGAATGAAACTGACGTCCAATCCGCGTAAACCTGACGTTTGAGGGACTGAGACTGACGTCCAATCCGCGTGAAAGACTGGTATCGAGGCTTCATTGTTTTCACAATCAAATGACTGAATGTTATCGTTCCAGATATATATACATATAGAGTTCACTGGATAAACATTTCATGCAAACAAATATTTTCGTTTTGAGGTCTTTTCGACAGCTGCTGTTTAAAAAAATACGAAAATTTTGCGAACGATAAGAGAAGTTCTACAAAAGGTAAGTTAGGAGAAATCAAGGAGATTTTGATCACGCTTGATATAAAGCTTTATATAGTGAGTTTATAATCCTGTTTATAATCAAACGTTCTTGCACAGATCTTGAATTTTTATCCATTATGTGGGTAAATTTATAAGAAGCAAGCCCATTGTTTACATATTTTACAACGATACTAAAACCGCCCTATCCACTTGCAGGTATAAAACTACAATTAACACAGAAAACAGGCGGGACTATTTTATGAATTTATGCTAATATAGTCTATTGTAGTCACTGCCTGGAAGCTCAGTCTGTTTACATACAGTTGAAGGATCTTCTAGATGGAAGTAATTGAGTGAAAATGTATTATTTTACATTCATTAGACCTATTAAACCAGGAAATGCAACTGTAGGTGCAGTTTATTTTTGGATATCTAGTCCAGATGTAAATAACATATATCTGATCTAGGATCAGCAGGGACGTAGAGACACGGGCGTGTGTGTGTGTGTGTGTGTGTGTGTGTGTGGGGGGGGGGTTGTAAACCCCACAACTGTGAAACTCAGGTAAAACTCATGTACATTGTAAATTTTGACATTTTCAGGTAAACTTTGTGTAACAAAGTCGTTATTTTTGTAAAATGATGACCATTTGACATCCGGCACCCCACCCCAAACTTCAGATGCTTTGCTACGTCTCTGAACATTAGTGCAATCACCATACAACACTGACCCTTGCAGTTACGAGGGTATATATGAAGAAGAAAACCCACAGCCATGTGATGAGGTCATATCGACACGTTTCAACATTTCTTTTCAGCACTTAATAACAGCAGTGTCAATTGAGTAGCATATTCATACTCTTATTGCCACAGTTAAATGTTGTTTAACCCAATGAGCTGCAATGTGCCCCAGTGCACCCTACTTATTTCTTTTACTTGTCTAACGCCAGACGATTTTACCCGTCAATGGGGAAGCTCTGCTGCTTAATGGGTTAAATTTATACCTGCATCATTTACAATGTGTCAGTCTTGTGAGCTGCCAGTAAATATTTGGTTCTTAATTTTAAACAATTTGCAGATGAAAGCACAATTCAAAATCATAGTGATGCATGGCATCTACAGTACTTCAAACAACTAAGTGAACACATATTCTGATCAATTTGCTGATAATATGGTGACTGGTGATAATATTGGATAATATAGGAAGATCAGGATATTTGCACAAGTGTCAGGGCAATACAAGTTAGTGGTGTCGGTGATGACATAATTGATTTGATGAGTTCATTATAAATTCCGATGCTGTTAGATCTTACAATAAATAAAAATGTTTAAAAATATAATATAATATATTATTAAATACATTATGTTAAATGAAGAACTTTGAATTTAAAGGTTTTATGAAATCTGCAATGCCAGCAATTCAAGAAAAGCTAATAACTTGTAAACCAGACAACAGAATATATCTGTAACAAGAAACCGGTGTAATGAAATCTTAGTGAATTACATATTAGTGCAATTTTGAAAAACAAAATAAAATTGACATTAGTTGCTGTATGTATTATATCATTATTAAAGCAAAACTATGTTGCTTTTAAATCAAGTGATTCTAACCATTTGTTGGCATTGTAAGAAAGATACTGCATCTGTTTTATTTTGACCATTGTTCTATTGTAATGATTAATTTTGTATCAAAATGAATGTTTGTGATGAATGTTCATGACAATGTGAAGTCCGGCTGTATTCGACCAGGCTGAGTAGGCTAGCCACATGTACGCAGTGCGTACCTATTTTTTGACATTGTATCACTATCAAATGATCAGTTTATAAAACCATGTTATATGTGATTTTCCTCGTGTGCAAATGCAAATGTACTGGACCAGGTTGCTGTAAAAGATTACTTTTGAGAAGAAGGCATTGGCCAAGCTGTATACAAAACATCCCAAGCTTGTTATCACGAAGTTCAAAGGAGTGCAAACTGATTGGCTGCGGTTCTGGAATCAGTTCCAGACTGGCATCGATGGAACCAACATTGCCCAAAGCGAAATTGTTAATGCATATATCAGCAACATTATGGCACTTGATCCAGTTCAATGAAAAATTACTACCAATTGTACAAGCATTGGAGACTTTGGGTCGAATCGGAGAAGTAAATGGGTATGTACGTGGAGATTTGGTGCGTACGGATGATGACTGGCTGAACTGGAAGTTTCCCGAACTCATTGAATCCTTAATGAAATTGACGGTGCGGAATCCACTTAAAAGAGATCAGGAACTGGATAGATCAAATCAGAGATGGACAAATAGATAAAAAAAACTTCCAAACAAGACAGCAAGAGCACAGGTCAAGATCATGTGTTTATTGTGATGACCCTAGCCAAAGATCCTGGGAGAAAAACAGCGGTGTTTTAACTGTACGGGCGTTCAACACAAGGAGGCAGATTGTCGGAGTCAAACGGTATGTGTACGATGCAAGAAGAAACATCACACATCGATATGTGAGGCACAACCATTGCAACAAATGTTGGTCGCACAGGGTGAAGGCAAAGTGATTTATCTGGTGGTGGTGGTGGTGGTGGTGGTGGTGGTGGTGGTGAAAGAGCGCTGTTGGACACACGAGCTGGGATCTTCTATGCATCTGCTGCCCTGTTGGAACGATTTAACAGCAAACCAGAGCGACGAGAGTTCAGGAAAATCGAGATGATGATGCAAACATGTAACAAAACAATTGATATGTTTGCGATGTTACTCTGAGTGCATATCCACACCGGGCGAGCTTGAAAAATATGCCCGGCCACGGTGGGATTCGAACCTACGACCTTTGGAATACTAGCCCAATGCTCTTCCAACTGAGCTACGCGGTCAGGACGGTTCGAGTAAGTGATATTTCGGAACAGTATCTAGTTCCTTCTATACCAATGTGTTCTTATAATATGAATTTTTTCTGTGCTGGTGTTGTGTACTCAGGTGAATAATATGTTTGTGATGTTACTCTGAGTGCATATCCACACCGGGCGAGCTTGAAAAATATGCCCGGCCACGGTGGGATTCGAACCTACGACCTTTGGAATACTAGCCCAATGCTCTTCCAACTGTCCTGACCGCGTAGCTCAGTTGGAAGAGCATTGGGCTAGTATTCCAAAGGTCGTAGGTTCAAATCCCACCGTGGCCGGGCATATTTTTCAAGCTCGCCCGGTGTGGATATGCACTCAGAGTAACATCGCAAACATATTATTCACCTGAGTACACAACACCAACACAGAAAAAAAAATCATATTACAAGAACACATTGGTATTGAAGGAACTAGATACTGTTCCGAAATATCACTTACTCGAACCGTCCTGACCGCGTAGCTCAGTTGGAAGAGCATTGGGCTAGTATTCCAAAGGTCGTAGGTTCGAATCCCACCGTGGCCGGGCATATTTTTCAAGCTCGCCCGGTGTGGATATACACTCAGAGTAACACCACAAATATCATATTCACCTGAGTACACTACACCAACACAGAAAAAATTCATATTACTAGAATACCTTGGTATCGAAGGAACTAGATTCTGTTCCGAAATATCACTTACTCGAACCGTCCTGACCGCGTAGCTCAGTTGGAAGAGCATTGGGCTAGCATTCCAAAGGTCGTAGGTTCGAATCCCACCGTGGCCGGGCATATTTTTCAAGCTCGCCCGGTGTGGATATGCACTCAGAGTAACATCACAAACATATTATCCACCTGAGTACACAACACCAGCACAGAAAAATTCATATTACAAGAACACATTGGTACTGAAGGAACTAGATACTGTTCCGAAATATCACTTACTCGAACCGTCCTGACCGCGCAGCTCAGTTGGAAGAGCATTGGGCTAGTATTCCAAAGGTCGTAGGTTCGAATCCCACCGTGGCCGGGCATATTTTTCAAGCTCGCCTGGTGTGGATATGCACTCAGAGTAACATCACAAACATATTATTCACCTGAGTACACAACACCAGCACAGAAAAAATTCATATTACAAGAACACATTGGTATTGAAGGAACTAGATACTGTTCCGAGATATCACTTACTCGAACCGTCCTGACCGCGTAGCTCAGTTGGAAGAGCATTGGGCTAGTATTCCAAAGGTCGTAGGTTCGAATCCCACCGTGGCCGGGCATATTTTTCAAGCTCGCCCGGTGTGGATATGCACTCAGAGTAACATCGCAAACATATTATTCACTTGAGTACACAACACCAACACAGAAAAAAATTCATATTACAAGAACACATTGGTATTGAAGGAACTAGATACTGTTCCGAAATATCACTTACTCGAACCGTCCTGACCGCGTAGCTCAGTTGGAAGAGCATTGGGATAGTATTCCAAAGGTCGTAGGTTCGAATCCCACCGTGGCCGCGCATATTTTTCAAGCTCGCCCGGTGTGGATATGCACTCAGAGTAACATCACAGGGAGCCCCACTATGAGTTATGATTGAAATAATATTGTATTTATTTTTAAAAACCTACTTGAATCCCTTGATAATCGATTATTTCTTCTCTCGAAATTCTGTAAACATTTTAAACTGCTTGAATCCATTATACTATCACTCTACATGAAGTATAGATGATCGCTGACAAGTAAGAACGCGGGCGCGAAAATACGAAGGCGGCAAAAGAAGGAAGAAGTTTAATTCTTCCTTCTTTTGCCGCCTTCGTATTTTCGCGCCCGCGTTCTTACTTGTCAGCGATCATCTATACTTCATGTAGAGTGATAGTATAATGGATTCAAGCAGTTTAAAATGTTTACAGAATTTCGAGAGAAGAAATAATCGATTATCAAGGGATTCAAGTAGGTTTTTAAAAATAAATACAATATTATTTCAATCATAACTCATAGTGGGGCCCCCTGTGGTAACATCGCAAACATATTATTCACCTAAGTACACAACACCAACACAGAAAAAAATTCAAAACAATTGATGTACACAAGTTAGAAGTCACTGATGTGAAGGATTCATTTGTCCTTAACACGGAAATTACCAGAGTAGAACGAAGTAATCTGTTAAGTTTGCCAAATCCTAAGTACAATGAAACAATCAAACGGTTTGAACACCTCAAAGGAGTAACATTGGACGATTAGATGAGAAGGAAGAACTTCCGATTCATTTAATCTTAGGAGCAAGCGATTATGCGAAAACGCCTTCCCAACCACGTGTAGGTCAAACCAGAGAGCCAGTGGAGGAGTTTGCGAAGTTCGGGTGGACCATAATGTCCCCAGGAACAGATGATGATTTTACCAAGATGTTATTTACGAAGACCTCGATGCACGTCTACCAGAAGCTATGTGATCTTGATGTCTTTGGCGTTCAAGAGTCTCCAAGCTAAGAGCAATCAATTTACGAGGACTTTAAAGAGCAATTGAGACAGAGTAAAGAGGGCTGGTATGAAACTGGTCTTCTCTGGAAGCCTGGGATGGAGGATTTACCAAGCAATGAGCCGGAAAGCCGAGCGAGGCTGGCCAAACTAGTACAGAGACTGGAGAAGAAGCCATATCTTATGAAACAGTACCAGGAAATAATTAAGGACCAGGAGAAAGGCACCCCAAGAGTCGAATCAACGAAAATTCTATATTCCTCACAAACCTGTGGTGAAGGAGTCAGCCGAGACAACGAAAGTGCGCATAGTTTATGACGCGTCTGTGCGGAGTCTGATGATTCACCTTCCTGTAACGATTGTTTAGAGACAGGCCCGGTCCTGCAAAATCTACTGTGGGATATTCTCGTGCGGAATCGTTTTAAACCAGTTGCTTTATCAGGAGGCTTGAAGCAAGCCTTCCTTCAAGTAAGAATCAAAGAGGAAGATAGGGATGTACTGCGTTTCCACTGGATCTATCGATTTACCAGAGCACTTTTCGGGTTGAATCAGTCCCCATTTCTTCTCGAAGGAATGCTAGATCAGCACCTAACGAGCGTAGCAGAAGAATTCCCTGACGAAGTCGTCGAGATTAAGGACAGTTTATACGTAGACGATATCCTAGGTGGTGGCAGTACGGTGACTGAAGTTGAATCGCTAAAGGAATCTGCCGTTGAAATCTTTGACAGAGCGCATTTCCTGTTGCACAAATAGCACTCGAGCGAGCCAAGTTTAGAAGCACCTGGAGGACATGATCCCGAGACGGAACCAAGCTTTGCCAAACAGCAACTGGGAGTAAAAAACGATGAAACAAATGTTGACCTAGCCTCCTCCGCAGGCACCGCCTTTAGATTATCGGGCAAAATTTGCTTGCAGGCAAAAAAATCAGGGCTGCTGGTTACGATGTTTATAGGGTTAGGGACTAGTTTAATTCGTGATTGCGTGACGTAAGAAGATAACCCCAATGTGACAACGTAAAGGCAGCCGAGAAGCCCTGGGAACAAGGATATATTACTGGAGGACCAATGTGTCGCCAGAAACACAATAATAATAATATTTAATATTTCTATTGCGCGATTTTACATATGTATTTGATTAAGTGTGCATTACAATATAGAGGTGATTTACAAGATAGAATATTAATAAAATATTATATTTTATTAATTAATTAATCAATAAAATAAAATTATAATTAACAATATTAATAATAAGCTTTCTTAAAATGATGCGTCTTAATTAGCACTTTAAATTTAACAAGACGCCTGCTCAGGCGTTCACACTGACCTGAAAATGACGACATACGAGCTACAGTGCAATAGACAAGAATACAAGTCGTGAACCGCAGACGCAAAGTGTGAAAGGCTAAAAGCGTGCCGTGATCCTCAGGAGATGTTTTCGTAATGCCCAATAAACACACAAGTATTACTCACAAATACAAACGTTATCCACGAATGCACATGGTTTAGCTCTGAGCATGCGATGCGCTAACACAGAACATTGTTTACATTCCGTGAGTCCGTATATTAAACGTATAAAATTCGAAAAACTCAGCGATCCAGATATTGCATTTCCAGAGGCGTTGCACGAAAAAACCCCAACCAGTCAACTTCCGAGGAAGTGCAGTTTGAAAGTAAAATATCTTAAGTCGAATTTTAGACCCCTACGATTTAAACAGCGCGTTGTTTTGATGTACGTTCTATGCGACGCGCTAAAAATATAAATATTCTGTAAATACCGAAATAAAAGATGAAAATCTGAAGTAAGACACAAGCTTGAAAATAACACTATAAATAGTGTTTTGGATTCTGATTCATTAATACATTACGAAAAAGATATGTCCAAAGGGGCCGAAGTTATGTTCGACGAAATGTAGGGCTAGTTTACATTGTTCATGTAATATTTGAACAACGAGAGCGAGTGTTTCACCGGGATATCCAAACACGAGAAAACAATGTATGAGAACACGAGCGCCAAGCGCGAGTGTTTTCATACATTGTTTTCGAGTGTTTGGATATCCCGGTGAGACACGAGCTCGAGTTGTTTATATGATACCATGCCTTACTTGTATTAAAATTCGCATCGAAGTTAAAAGTAATGTTATTGTTTGACGCAACAAACCTTCAGTAACACAATAAAGTGTATGTTTCTTGTAGTTATCAGTAGCAAGTAAATGATTTCGCGTTTTGTATAGATGTATTGTCTGAGGGTAAAACGTCTTAAGTCGATCAGTAGCAGGTTTATTAACTTTGGACCCATCACGGATGTCGCGCCATTGACTGTACATTACGGATGCGCGAATGACTATATGTGTATTGCATATGATACAAACACATTGAGTATACAATTCTACTCTGCGCATACAATATTTTGTAGTCAAACAGTCAAAACTTTAACTTGTCCTTGTTTATATTCCATTCTATTGTATAAATTCGCGGGGTACAAATCCCGTACAATATTACAAAGAAACGGTGAAATGCTAAAAGCGTGGCGTGATCCTCAGCAGATGTTTTCGTAATGCCCAATGAGACACAAGTATTACTCACAAATACAAACGTTATCCATAAATGCACATGGCCTCTGATGGATATAGGGACTCAGGAACACCGCGGAAAAACGTCTGCGCATGCGTCCACCTTACCTGTAATAGTATTGCGAACTTGATGAGAAGCTGTTCCGAATGTTTCCGAAGGCTCAAAATGGCGGTAAAAAGAAGTGACTTCATTGTGCGTCTTTACAGCCAGATTTCGAGCGCAGAAATAAACATGTCATTCTAAAAACTAGGAATAAATACAGCCAGAAGGTTCAAGAAATTGTATTGTACAAGAACATGAACTAAAGGTGATTGTTGGCAAATTTATCGTCTGAAACATTTTGTTTATCAACTAAGCAACGACCATTACCGAATTTTCGTTTGAGATACATTTCTTTAAAAAAAACTGTGGCGCCAAATAAAAAAAATTTTCGTGTTCACAATAATTAAACTTTAGGATTTATTCTACAATTTAAGTGGGTTAAGAAGCTTAACTTTTCGAGAGTTTTCTTAACTTT